GCTTAAATACTTCCGTGGACATGATCTTTGATATGAGCGGACTATGTGGGGGACCTGTAGCTAACATGGACGAAAGAAGGGAGTTTGGAGAAGGTGGATGGTGACACTTATGTTACTGGTCTTGGTTTTTACTGTATATCGGTCTTGGTTCTTCCAGCTTTGGTAGTTGTAAGTACAGTGTTTAGCTTCCTTGTTTGTTTTTATCTTTTGTCCATGTTTCCTTTTTGTTCACTATACCTGTTGTGTGTTTGTGCACACTTCTATGAACTACACTACTTTCCTCACCTGCCTCGTTCTTTTGTTTTTGTTTTGTAAGTTGGGGGTCTCCACGAAAACAACCTCTCTGACCTTGGGTGGAGACAAGGTCTGCATACACCCTACTCCCCTTGCCCAAAAAATATTCCTACCATTGTGCGCAATATATTGGATTCATCTCATTTGGTTCTCAAAACAATCTTAAAAAATGTACCAATTGTCAAGTCAAATGTTGCATTTATTTTAATATAGAGGTAGTAGCTATGGCGATTTCCAAAAATCATGTCCTATTCAGAACTGTTATCCTCCTGGCATAGAAAACAAAATTGATAGAAAATGAATGAACCTTTGGATAACTGGAGTAAAATCTAAACAACCTAGCAACAACTTTCTTCCAAATAAGAGATCCTTTTCATCTCAAAATTATTGTAACAAAGTCAAAGCATACAAAATGCAGGACAAATATAATAGAATGAGAACCTGTGATATTGAAACTGGAAGTTGGCGCCATTTCTGCTGGAAAGTGCTTGGATCAAGCACAGCTTTCGAATTTAGCTTCAATGGAGTGGAGGGAGCAGGACTAGGTGCAATAGACAATCCTAGACCAAATAGGTCATCAATGGCTGAGCTAGCTTGTGGAGCGTCTGCTGGTACTGTTTGATCCAAGGATACAAGCTCTCCTTCAGTTTGCGAGACGGCTAACTGGGATAAAGAACTGTCATATGCAGGTGCATTATATGCAGAATCGTTATTGCCATGGGCCCTACTTTCTTCTTTCTCTGTGGTAGTCAAAAGCAGATCCTCATCATTCGCCTCAACCCTTTGCGCAGGAAGGATGTCATCTGCAGGTTCTGAACCAATAGACAAATTCCCAAGCTCTTCTGAAAAGGCAAATGGTCCTTGATGTTCTTTATCTGTGAACATGTAAGAAGGCTGCACCAATTTAAGCTAACGGTTAGCTTTGGTAATACTTCACGTGTGCATGCTTAGCATATACAGAAACGAGGAGGGGATCAATAATTTAAGCAGACCAAGTGATTTCTACAGACCAATAAATCCCAAAAACATGGATCCAATATTCACTATTTTAATTACTGGAAAATAGAGGTACAGAACCAGAAGAAAGCAATACAAAAAGGAGATGGCACATGCTCTTTTCTTCTAGTAGGCTTATATACATACAATTCAAGATAACATGGTTTTCTTGCTCATATGTTGCGAAAAAGTTTCAATGTTAAAACAAACTTGTACTTGGTTGAAGATATATTTTGACCCTAAATTACTGGTTTGTAACTAAGATATAACCTGTGGCACCGACATCTTATATGTTGATTTAGTTTTATACTTTCCTGATGAGAGCTTTGTAGACTAAACATGACGGTCAGGTGTAGCCTGGTTTAAGAGTAAATTAATATGGAGTGTAAGTGTGGGCCATTGGGACTCACACATGAACAAGTACCATGATGGATCCTAGGGGTTCCATTCCAGACCACTGGCCATGAGTGGAATGGCTTCATCTTTAAATTTGTCAACAAAAATTGCTGTAGTATGACAATACTACATCAGACATGAAAAGGAGAGCATGGGAGGAGAGGAACCCTAAGCTATATGTACTATCTATGAAGTGAACAGAGCTGGCTTGAAATACAATACTATTGTTGTTGCAAGGGACGTCACCAGTAATGTGCATCAACATTGAAAAGCTTCCCTTCCATTAGATTTCTTTTGTTTTTCTTGGAGGAAAAAGAGAATTAAGTTAATATTGACAACTAGCTCAACCAATATTGAAGCCACAGTTACATGAATTAAATCACAAATAAAATAAGTCATTGCTTTGAAGGATTTCAAGCAGGCACTTAAGTGGACACGCTATGCTTCCAGTCATAATATAATAATATCTATTTGTTATAGCAGCAATAAACCTACAGCTACTTTTGCTTGTTACACATTCAACAGATTATGTGAACTTGCAAGTCTTAAGATTACAATAAGAAGCATGCACAAAAAAGAGGACTTGTCAAGGTTTGATATGTACAATTCCATTAGGGAACTTCAAGAGACTGATTAACATGTTATTTCGAGATTAAAATATGAATATGAATATGAAATTGAAATTGAAATTGAAATAATGTTATACTCGTGTCTCTAAAGAGAATTGTACTCGCAACCTAAGGGTTGTAGAAATCCATTGAAACCATTAAGCCAAAGGGCACTTGCGCAGAAAAGTTGCTAATCAAATTAAAATCCCCTTAATGTCCTCCACAGCAGTTTTGTTGCTGCTTAATAGCCGATAATTACATAAGATGCTTAGCCCCGAACTTAAGAAAGAAACCGATTCATTTAAAGCAATCTTCAATAGTCTGCAGCTATCAAGGAGCCTTCATGCAATTTACTGCAGAAAATGACGCAAACTAAGGTACCTTCTGGTATAGGACAGAGAGGCTGTTAAACTCATCAAAAATACGATCTTTGATCTCACTGCTTTGAATATCGGCAAAGACCGAAACAGCTTGCTTAGTAGGATTGACCACACTATTTGCTACAGATACACTGTGTTGCAAAAGCCTGTAGTAAAATAAGGCTCTATCATGGACATCCTGCATTAAAATTGGAGGTTTAAATAGTCTTCAAAAGCAACTAGTAAATACTACAATTTGAAGTTTCTACAATCCTATGATAGCACAGAATTTCAACCTGATGCATATCAGCAAGCCCGGCAGCTAAAGCAGCACCCAAGGCTTTTTGAGTCTCTGGTGGTCTTCTGAAAAAACATTTCATTACTGCTGTAAGAAGATGCAAACGTACCTGCAGAATTAAAAATGACGACTAAATCCATAATGAATTATCAACAGCACATACTAACTACTCGTGCAGCTCAAGCATACTCAGACTTCTAGGATAAATAACTTGATATTTCATAGTTGATTATAAATACCAGGAAATAAACAGATAGATACAAGGAAACTTTTCAACCAGCTTGAGCACAAGTGTTCATCTACGATTGTTAGAAGCACTGGTTGCATTCGGAATCTTGATGCCTCATAACTTCCAAGCAGGTTATCAAGTGAAGCATGAATATGAGCAAGGTGCAGTGAAAGATGGAAGCATAAAAGTGCAATTATTGAAAGATTGTTATAGCTGACCCTCATGAACGGAACAAGTATCAAGGCAGATGGTTAAGCCGCTAAAAAATAATATGTATATAACAATGCTTATAAGCACGTACAGATCAGATTTTTTAATGAATAAACCACCAGATTTTCCTCAATGTCTCAAGGAGGATGTTATAAATCAAGTCTATCAATGAAAAAAAAATCTGGGGATAAATTCATCAGGGTTGGAAATTATTGAGCAACAAAAGGAAAGGAAAGTTAGCAATTCGAGAGGCTAGACTCTCCTATTACAAGAGTGACCAAATATCTGCATGGTTAATCCCACTACTCCCTCTCTTATTTATGGCCAAGCTCTCACCCCAAAGCATAAAACAAATTCCCCAAACTGCCCTCAATAACAGATTTGCTAACCATCTGATGATGCTATATTTTCATTCCTTGAGGTCCCTCCTCCTTGAGTTTACGTGGACCATTTCTTCTATTATACGTGAAACATATTGGGGGATATTTAACATTGCCCCATTCCCAGACATCCACCTTGTCCTCAAGGTGGGAATGAGGAAAAACTTGTTGGATGGTTGCAAAATCCTTTCATATGGCTTCAAAATCTTGAAGTCCCTTCCACTTGATCAAAACCTCCATACGTTGCCACCTAGCCAATTCTTTAGAGTTGATCCAAGCAAGTTTCCCGGCTCCACTTCCGGTTCCAATTCTTCAGCCATTTGTGGGGGTAAGGAGACGAAAGTCTGCTGTTCTCCAATACCTTTCTTGAGCTTAGACACATGGAACACTTAGTGAATACCGGCTGATTCAGGAAGCTGAAGCTTGTAGGCAACTTCCCCGATACGTTGTATGATCTTTAACAGTCCATAATAACATGCAGCAAGCTTCTGAAATGGTCTCCCAGCCAATGATTTATGTCGATAAGGCTGGAGTTTCAGATACACCCAATCATCAGCCCTGTGTGTCTTATCCTCCATGAATTTCATCCGCCGTTGAGCTTGTAATAGCTGGGCACGTAATTCATCCAATATCGCATCCCTTTCCAGCAGCCTTTCTTCCAAGGTAGAGACCCCAGGGCTGCCTTGTTCAATCCTCACCAAACGGGGTCAATCACGGCCATGCGACGCCTTAAATGGTGTGCATTTGATTGAGGTGTGATATGCCGTGTTATGGCAGAACTTGGCCCATGGCAGCCATTGCACCCATTAGTGGGGAACCCCGTGAATGAAACATTGGAGATATATCTCAACCGTCTTGTCAACGATCATTAATTGCCCATCGGTTTGAGGGGATGGGTATGGTACTCCCCGTCCCGTACCCGTTATATATATATATATATATATATATATAGAGGAG